GTTATGTATATTAATAATATTTTTGGCATAAATAGACCCGTGGATTGCTATTTGGTGACCCGTGGATTGCTATTTGGACTTTTGAGCTTGAGTACAGTACTTGATAGGTAGATTCCGTGTTCTCAGGGTTAATCCCCATTTGTTCTACCATACTCCAAGAGGGGATGGTAGTTTTATATGGTATATGTTTTTATCTATTATTTGAGATGATGAAATGATGCACTCTTATATATGTATGTTATGTGGTGTATTACACACAAGATGGTAATACTTGAGTGTAGTGTGGAGCTGCACAAGACTGGTATTCCCTGAGTGTGGGTATAAGGTAGGTGCCCTATGCTTTATGCATGTAGGAGACGTGTGTAAATCATGCGTTCTCTGGCCAGTAAACTTGTTATACCAATTTTTCATAATCGTCGTCATTTAATCATGGATGTCAAACTCAAAACAATATCACCTTACAGTTTTACCAACTTCCACCAAACACCTTGGGACGAATCATTTTCCAAACCCATTTCACTACTAACTGATGGACCCTTAAAAAATGTCATGTCTCTCACATGCAAGTCTCATCCTATAGGAATCTTTGAAACTTAATTATCAAGTCACATAAAACTAAATCCATCCTTGCCACTACTTATACAATTCCCCACCGATTGGTATATCAATCTCTCGAAATATTCAAAGCTACCACAAACATTCGGCCATACCTCATTAATACTTAACCAAAACAACATTAACATTGTGCATCTTCCACACACTTTCCACCATAAGTGGCATATGCGATTATATATATAACACTCCTCAATTCACTCTATCAGTACAACCAAGCTATCAACTTTTAGGCAACCGATCGCAATTCCAGTTTCCAACTATTATTACACATTCGTGCTTGATTCCATCACATTTTACTTTTTATAAGGGCTTATAATTCACCGTTTTAACCTGAACTCTTGATCATCACCAGCCTTCTTAGAAGGACACTTACTCCATCTGTCAACATTAAATCACATTATTATCTCCTTTATCATAAGGCGAGAATTCCAACACACTTACTACCTCACTTGGAGCCGATATTATTTCCTCAAACTTACTTTACACCCACAATAGTGCTTCACTATCACACTTCTAAATTCTTACACACTATGCCTCACCTCTTATATCCAAATCTGACATATTATTGTTCATTTACAAATATCTGACCTCATATTTTGCATTAATCACATGGAAGAACTCTCTCAATACAGTGGGTAACAACATTCACAGGTTTTAACCGCTCGAGCTCTTGCTGTCCTCAGGGCCCCAGCTATAATGACCCACCGATCAGAGAATCCACCCATATGATCCCTTCCATAATAATAACTTGCCACTAGCTGTCCCTATTCAAGGAGCATCCCCCAAATGTTTCTTCTTTGTGCTTTTATATCAAATATCTCTACTATACTAACAGTTACGCCAATGAGGAACACTTCCTCGTCTCACATTACTCATATAAGATAATAACAATCTCTGGGAACATACTCCACACGGAGATAATCATACACTTCGGGCACATAAGCCACACAGAGCTATCAATAATCTCACGCCATACAACATGCACCCAGTGCACCGAGGAATTTATACTCATAATACATCTGTATATAACAGCCACGTGTACCCAGTACACACCAGATTACATATGGACCAAGTCCATTTGGTGTCTGTATCATATCCGTATATAACGGCAAAACTCTTTTGTATATACACATGGGGTTACCCCCATAATCATAGTAGTAGTATATTAACCATATCACATATATGTATGGTGCAATGTTTCTTCCTTGATTATTCTTCTCAAAGATTGTTTACTCTTTTACTTTGAATATTCACCTAGCATGGTTCATCGCATAATCTCTATTCCATGAATCCTAAACTTTTCTCAAGGTTCTGTACACATCTCACATCTCTTAATATAAGTATCATATTTCCCATCACACCGGGGTCTTCTAATCATTTCCGTCTAATCATAGAGAACTAACTTCACCTCAATCCTTGTACTGGAATTTACATTAGTCACTGCATTGAAATTCTACCTCAGTCCTTACACTGAAATTTTACATTAGTCTTTGCACTAAAATTCTACATCAGTCCTTACACTGAAAACTACTCGTCAGTCCTTGCACTGACAATTATACCTCATCTCATTAACTAATCTTATCATTTTCGTCTTGACATTACACATTAGCTCTTTTGCTAAACACATAAGTTCACACTCTATGCACCCTTGACAATTCAGTTCTTTCGCTAACCACTTAATCTCGCAATTTATCGTAACCTAGTTCATACAGTACTCACATGATTTCACATTAGGTTGTACATTAGTTCATTCTCCAATCATACCATCTCATCTTATTGTGGTACATCCAAAACCCACAAAATTCTGTCACCGTTCTAATCCAGTGCCTGCTACGGCCCACATAAACCTATACTCAATATTATATAACAACCCGTCAATTTTACTGATCACTTCCACCCTTGGTGGTTGTAGAATATTCATTACATTGAAAATACCTCTACTCCGTCTATCAATCCATATCAAATACCAATAATTTCACAAGCACACTACTATTAGTAGTACCTATATATAGACCACAAGATCACAGTTTCTTTACAATCCTCATTACTGTCTTATACATGACTATACATTTCAATTGTCCTATTCATTTATCTCTAACACATCTGCCAAATTGCATCGACACCCATTAATTACAATAGTGCCTTCGTCGTACCTTTATCTTATGTCATCCATGGCGATATTCTCAATTTCTTCCTTCTACTCATACTACATAATTATTTCATCTCACCTATGTTTGCTCAACACTAAATCCTTATGGATTTCAATCCCATATTTCAATATCTCTCACTTTACTAATTCACATGCATCATAATTTCAAGTGGTCAAATCCCATAGGATTAATCCTCAAATATTCTATTTACTTCTCTGCATGAACCATCTCAATTTGTTTAAGTGTACATCATCCACCAGGGACTTATAACTTCTAATCAGTCATAGAATATTCAAACTCATACCTAAGCATACATGTTCCCCATCTTCAATAATCCAACAGGTTCTAAATCTCTCACCTTGATGAAGTCTATTCACCAAGTCCACTTGTACACACTATACTACACACATACTTGGAAGTTTCACCAACACCATTTCCATACTATGGACTCATCTCAATCATATATCTTTATTATTCATAGTACTACAAGGTTCACCCATGGTAATACCGTACATATCATAGATTTGTTTACAACTTTCACTTATAATCCAGCTTTATAAATTTCATCTACAAGGTCAGACAAAACATTTAAGTCTGTTTCCTTTAAGTCCTATAATATTCATATTTTACTTACTGCCATCTCTTGTCCATGGAGCAGTCAATACTGCAACCACAACATCAGGCTAAGGACTAACATTCGCTGCTTCAGGGTTGCCATGTAGGCTTCTTACGATGACTACGCATGTAACACAAAGGAATGGGTTGATCAGACCCACACTAAGGAATCACATATGCAGTAATCGATAAGAATTTACATACAACGATGTAACACACAACACAACTATACACTATCAGAGTTCCCTAACAAAACTGCTCTGATACCATAAAATGTAACAGCCCGTTGTACACTAGTATTGTTAACATTAATTATGATATTAAGCGCAGTTACAATCACAGCAATTCATTTATAAAAATGCGAATAAACTTTTTCCGATTATTTCGCGAGCATTTAAAACATAAAAAGTGTAATAATTAAAAGCTGTGACTGTAACCGTAAACTCTTGCGGAATACTTATTTAAACTACTTTTATAACTTACTTTACTTAGTATAAGTTACTAAGGGGTCCCCATAAACCCACTTAGCCAATTACTCAATTTTACGTTTTTACTCCTTCGAACATGGTTCACTCATTAATTTTCTGCGAACACACCGTTCACAACCAAACCTTCTTCTCAGGTTATATTTTTGTCTTACTTAATTCCCTTTCCAACAAGCTATCATACGCTCAATTCGGAGCTCGTTTGCTCCGGCTATCGCCGTTTGAAGTTGGATAAGCAAAACAACCAACCAACCCCAAAACAGCTCAAAACCTCTCTCACTCTCTGAATTAATGCACTGAATCCACTAATCCAATTGCCCTCAAAATTTTAAAACATAAACTAGACACCTCAATCTTCTATTTGATATATCATACACTTAATTTGACTGAGAAACGAAGCGGGAATTAATTTCCCAAAACTGGTCCAGAACTGCCACATGTGCAGTAGGCACATGAGCAGTCTGCGTTTCTCCATTTTTTTCAGGTCGAAGACCAACCCAGATTTTCCCCAAATTATGACACAAGGTAGAGGACATCTCAACCTTCAAAATGGCGTAAGGCACGTCCCTATTGGACCTCTATGGAGGGAGATATGCTCTCCTGAAGTTCGTCCAAATATGCCAATTCTACAGAAAATTCGCCAGAGTTTCCTTTGTTTTTCCTTAAAATCCCCAATTTGTACAAGCTTATTTATGTCTCAAATGTACCTAATAATCACATAATAATACAGTACTAATCCAATGGGTGGCACACACAAGGACCAACAACGCCTTGGGGCACTTACAACCCAATCCAGTTTATAGTTATTAGACACATAGCTCACTTTAATCATTCTTAAATAGTTGCAATCGCTAACATCACTTTCATGCATTTTTTATCATACTTGTAATCATCATCTAAAATAGGCGTAAGGCCATTCCATCATAACTTGTCATGCATCAAGGTACAATTACAATATTTGCTTTACAACTTACAACTTACAAATTAAACTTAATTACAATCTTCCAATATTACAACTTAAATACAAATGGTAAAATAAACTACATGACATGACTACTAGACTTAGGCAAAATGGCATGAATAATGAAGCTCATCCTACATACATATGAGATATTCATGCCCTAAGTCTAGCCTAGGTCACACGGCCAACAAAATGCAAAATGTTAAGCACTCCACTGCTCACTCTGCGGGCCTCTTGCCCGCTGCTCCAGCTCCACTGCTACCTCCTGAAATAAATGCCCCGAGACGGGGTGAGATATACGAATATATCTCAGTAACCTAGAGGTTCTGGAGAAAACTCCGCCCAATGGTTCACTTCGATGCATATCAATAGTATAAAACAACCACTTTCAAAACGGGATAAAGCAAGAGATTTAGAGAAACTGGGGAATATCGGGATACAAAATATGATGATGCGGGATGGTAGCTACCAATACCACGCACGCCCTGGGCATATATAAGCCTACATGTATCATCCAAGGTGTGTTCCAAGAACCACAACCATGATGCCCAGACCAACCATAACACCCGAGACATTCCTAGTGTGCTCCTATCCGGATCAGACACCACGACCCTAGGTTAACTGGAACTCCCTCTCGGAGACCTATCCAGTGGAAGTCCGAAATTGCCCGAAGGCTAAAACTGTCTACTGGCCAGAGACTCGGTACATAAGTACCCACTGTGATAATGCATGCATGCTCATGTTGTTCTACACTACTCATATACACTTCCTACCATTGCCATCAACTGGCAAGGTGGAACAGAAAAGGGGAACAAGCCCCAGTACCAAGAGGTTACCTTAAATAGTTTTCTCACTAGCTCCGCAGCAGCTTATCCCTCAACTTGGTACACAGCAGAATGCCTACACAGAGGACATTTCCAATCACTCACAATTCAAACAATACATGCTAATTTACAATTATACATGCATTGAACCAATTACTTACCTCAATCCACTTGGTCCAGGACCAAGGGCAACTCACTGATTTAAGGTTCGGGATTCAAGTCGACGTATGGCAACCTATACAATCACGTACAGCCATCAGTACGCGTCAAATAACGTCAAAACGCAAAAATCACAAAATCCTCCCCATCCTCCCTTGATGGTTCGGCCATTCATGTGTTAATTTGAGAATTATTTTTCTAAATTTTCTTTATCATTTTATTACCCATCCTTAGGTTGCCATAAGGCCAATTCAAGTGTCATTTTTACGTTTTACGTCTTTTACTCATCGTTTTGCGTAATAATTCACTCTAGGTTCATTTAGGTCCCTAACACGAGTTATTATTTTTCCATTGATTCTAACACCTTCCAATCACCACACAACCCATCTAAGTACCATATAACTACACAAATCATCATCCAAATCATTTTTCAACATCAATTCACTCATTTTCCTCAAAGGGTCGAATTGTGTCCTATGACACTCCAAGGGGTTTCCAATCAATTTCAACCATTCCACACCTCAACCAATTACATTATATCATCATTCAATCATACAACAACTCATTAATCAATTCTAACACATTTCCAAAAATCCAAGTCATGACAATCCTCAAAATTTCTAAGTTATAAATTCATATTTTTCACCAATAAATTTCATCGCATTTCTAGCTCTAACACATCATTCTAACACATTATCATCTAATACACATTTTCCAATTGAGCTCCCTAACACAACACATCATCAAATCAAGATTTAGGTTTCCAAAAATTCAATCACAATTAAACCATGTAAATGGGATGAAAACATACTCACAACAAAGGCTAGAAGCTACCCCAAGACTCCTCCAAGCAATGGAAGCTCAAATTACTCCATGAACCTCCATTTTTCCCAACAAATTCGAATCTGGCTTTGGCCTATATCTCCCCAAATACGCGGTTTCAAGGCTCAAGAGTGGTACCAATGTGTTTAGAAGGTGATTTCCATTGAATTTCAACACAAAAATCAAGGGATTTGGTTGAGAAATGAAGGATTTATCAAGGAAGAAAATTTTGAACCTAAAATGGCTAAGGATAAGGGGCTGCACGGTTTTGGGCTGAAAGGAGGGGAGAGAATGTGATGATGAATAGTGGTGATGAGGTGGATTAAGTGGATTTTAAGTGGGGTGGGTCCCACGCCACCTCACGCGATTTAAAACTCATCCGGATTTCTCTACGATTCCACTAAATGTCCGTAAATTCACAACCTATTTAGAAACTCTAATTTTTAACATTAATCATTCTCCTTTAATTATACTTGATTAGGTGAGTCCGGAGTTTTCTGGTCGTTCGGAGAAAACACTGTTTTAAACTATTGCGCGCGACGTTGGCACGCTTCCCCAAAATGACTTAATTCCATCAAATTTTATCAAAAATCATATTTCCTAACTCAATAAACCATTTATAACTCATATTTGAAACCTAGAGCTCAAAACTCAATTGACACGTTTTACGGTGCAATCGTACCGCGATATTTTTACCCGCGAAAAACACTATTCACTGATTTTTCTGAAACTTGCCTATCCACTCAATTTTTCGTTTTGAATCCATTTCCAGGGTTATTTTTATCATCTGAGACATTAAACTCAATTTTTATCTTCCTAGGGTTGCGTGCTGGCTAATTACCGTTTTGCCCTTTCTTTGTATTTTAGCCTAATCTTCAAGATTTTTCACTAATCCTTCACTTAATTACTCACTTAATATTTTAATATTTGATTTATAAATGTGAGGTGTTATAATATACCTGTGCAAGTTGAAGACGAAATGTAGGAGATAGAACAGAACCACAATCCCCTAAGATAGTAATTCCTGCGAAGAATGATGAAGATAACCCAAAGAATGACAGAGACCCAAAGTCAACAGGAAGAAAACAACTGAAAAAAAAGGATGAAAATGGAGACAAAGAGAAAGAAAGAGATATGAAGATGGAGACAAAGAGAAAGAAAGAAATATGAAGATGAAAAGTGCAAAACTCAGAAAAGAGAAACAATAAGAATGTGAAATGGCAACAATGAGAAATAAAGCCACGTAAAATAGGGTTTCTAAAATGACGTTTCAGGACCACCAACCATCAGATTGAATATCTGCTCAGAAACAACGATCCAGATAAAGGGAAACACTGTAATTTCGTAGAGAAAAGACAACTCAGATGTCGCATTTAATGTGACACGTCCTGCGACACTCAATTGCCTGTTCAGAAATAAAAGTAATCGGCGTAGACATCATTACCCACTCTTGAAAAATGAGGAGTTGTCCCCATCCAAAAACCTACACGAGGTCTTGATCAAACCCGCGAACAAAACAGACTACCAGACATAACACCACAAGAATTGATTGCCCAAAGCAACAAGGATAAATCAAGAACGGTCAACAACATAACAAGATACACAACACCCAGATCAGGGCCCCTTGGTGATCAACGACAACAAGAACCAACCAACACACTATACTCCTCATGCCAAATGTGTCTGATGGCCTAAGGACGCTACATGCCTCCAACCATTAAAGGACGCGATTCCAGCCTGATTTAGGCGCGATAGCCCCCTATCCTGCACGATCATCTCGACACCAAGACTATGCTTGCTACCAAGCTGGAGGGCTCCTGTTCTGGATATCCTAACCAGATTAGCCCAATAAGGCAAGCCCAACCCCAAGGAATCAATCCACGTCAGCTCTATTGTACCACCTCTGCTGCCACTGTCCCCATGTAACAGGATCCCCAACATAAGACACCGGAATATCTTACGTTGGGACACTACCTTCTTTTGGTAGCCTCCCAAACATCCCAAATAAACACCCCCCCTTTGATAGCTACTGCTTTAGCCACTGTTATCAGCGTAACAGGGGTTGCAAAGTGCATGACATGACACTTTTGGCCCTTCCCCAGGAGAGTTGTCCTAGCTCACTCTCCCACACAGGTAGAGCATCACCCCTTCCTATAAATACCCCCATCTTCACCTAACAGAGGGCATCTCCAACATATATATCGTTACCCTGAACCACCAAGCCATTGTAACCCTTCTCACATATCATCACCCCTACTCTAATCATTTTGCACCACACCTGGGACATCATCGTTTAGTTTGGTATGTACCTCTACTAACGTTGGTACCCTTATAGTGACCACCACACCCATTCTGGGTTACATATTGGGCTCGCAGCCCCACTAACGATACATAATCCATTTTCATAATAGATATCCACATCCACCGTCTTGCGTATACATATATGCAACACATTTTATGTATAATCACTTTTTAAAAGAAATTGTCTTCTTTACAAAACATTTTACATAACATCGATTCGAAACTTGGATGATATAACAGTTCTTATAATGTAATCAATCTATCACTAAAAGAAAAATACCCACAATCAAAATTCCCTATAGAAACCCATTACATTTTCGTTTAAAAATCTAATGGGGTGTTTGGTATAGGAGGAATTTTTTATTACCTGGGAATCACGATTACTGAGAATATGGTGAGAAAGTTAGTTTCTTGGGAATGTTATAAAAAAGTTGTTTGGTAGGCCAAAATATTATCGGAAAAATTAAATGAATTTACAAAAATAACCTAATAACACATCTCTTTAGAAACACGATTAGTAACAAAATAAATAAATAAAAAATACACAGTTGTGCAAGAACGAACTAATTCCTTGGCAGCCACTTCTAGTATCGATCTTCATCTTGCTTCTATTGGTGCTATAGGCAATAGTGAGTCTATTGGCAAGGAGAATGAACTGTAGTCCCATGATATAAAGAATTACGAAATTAATTCCATTTGTAAAAGCTATTGAATTGATTTCTTCTAGTCAGCCTTTGCTTAGTAACTCATTTGGGGCATCAGAAGCTTTGATATCTGGATTCGTTCCAGAGCAACTATGTATTTAACATAACAAATCCAGTTTTCCACATAGTGATAAGCTAGGGCCCATAAAGGTATAATAGTCTAAAAATTGTTTGACTGCTTTCTCATCGCATGGGAAAAAAGAATACCTTTTTTTGAATGGTATTTTAAAATAGGAATCAGTAGTGTAAAATCAAATCCTGGGAATAAAATTTTTTCTGACAAATTTTTACATTTCTTTGTATCAAACATGGGAAAATAATTTTCTCAATTCCACTTTTCAAGGATTCCTAAATTAGACATGTACCAAAAGAGGCCCTAAAAGAAAAAAATAAATAAAACTTTGAAGCTATGAATCAGATCTGGGTTAGAAAACTTGACCCTTTGATTTGGGTCGGATCCATTGGGATCACAAAATCCTCCCTAAACCCTAAAAAACCAGAATGTGGGAAAATAATTTTCTCAATCCCATTTTTCAAGGATTCCTAAATAATAGGGGTGTTTGTGGTCTGGATTGGATCGATTTTAGAAGCAAAAATCATCTGATTCAATACCTTCGGTTTGATAATTTAATCATCCATTTGGTTTGGATTTTTTTCAAATCCGATCCGATCCAATCCAAAATTTTTCGGTTTGGATGAGAGCGGTTTTCGAATTTTTGAAAATCCTAAAATTTATTTCATGATTATTGTGCAAATAACATCTTTTGTATATATTGGCTTTGTAATTTTTTTTTTTTAAATACAAACGCATCAGTAAACAATAATATAGTTTTTTTTTGGCAATGAGATATGAAGCTCTACACAGATAAAATTTTGTTGATGAGATGTGATTAGGTTTTTTCTTGGGTGTAGTTGATGGGTTAACAGGTATTGAGCTTAGAAATTTTTGGGCTATGATTGGGGAAAAGCTCAAGTAGGTAGAGGAAAATTAATATATTGAATCGATTTGGATTAGATCGGTTTTCATCAACCCATCTGAAAACCGATCCAATCCAATTAAAATTTACGATTTTTTTTTCGATTTTCGATTTTTCGATTTTCGATTTATTCGGTTATCGATCTTTCGGTTCTTAGATCGGTTGATAAACACCCCTACTAAATAAGACCATGTACCAAAAGGGGCCCTAAAAGAAAAAAATTAATAAAACTTCAAAACTATTAATCGGATCCGGGTCAGAAAACTTGACCCTCCGATTTGGGCCGGATCCATTGGGATCACAAAATCCTCCCTAAACCCTAAAAAACCAGAAGAGATTCTGGAGCACCATTGTCGTTGAACCCTGGTAATACTATCTACCCTCACCTTTCTTGCTTGATTGTTTCTTCTTTATTTCAAAATATTATGTGTGTTTTTCCCCCCAATGGAGAAAATGTAAAAGGGTAATTTTGCTTTATATATAATCATCATGTTCTACGAATTTTACGCTACCCACTATGCAAAACCAAGAAAAATTTCATTTTTCATTTTTATTTTTTAAAACCTAGACGCTTCTGGTTGTTGTAGCTTGTGACTGGGATATGATTTGCATCACTGCAGTTGCTGTTTTTTTTTTGTTTTTTTTTTTTTGTAGTAGAAGTGTGATGCTTATTGCTAAGTTGTTAGTGAGGATCAGTGAATGAATTCACTTTCCAAGAGAAAGCCTATAGTGTTGCAGCTGTCAATGTTCCAATTTGTGATGAAGGAAAAATGGATTTTATATCAATTGTATTAAACAGGATGCATCATTGTGTATTGCTGCAATCTTATGAAGCTTTTGAGGAATATTTTGCCATGGCCTTTATTTTTCCTTTCAGTATTATTTCCTTAGGACAATCTCACTATCATTACTTAAGTCTTAGTGAGATTGAAGTGTCCTTGCTGACAAAGCTTATTCTTTTATGGTTATATTCCTTTTTTTTTATTTTTTTCCTGCTATACCAACTTATTTTCCCCAAATAGGAACGCTCCCTGCTAGCCTTAAATCTTCACCTTCGTGTTAAGTAATGATAGTCATGCTTGTTAGTAAGGTCTGCCTTTCTGCAATAGCCAATGTGCTTTATTACATAGCTTTTCACTTTGTTTTTTTGTGAAGAAGCAATATATTTTTTCTTGTGGTGTTAATACATCATTTTGTTGGTATTGCAATTGAAGGGGTGGATTTTGGTGTACTTGTGATGTTTCAGTCCTAAGTGTTCATGGAATAATTTATGGTGATAAACTGTAAAAGTAGTTTGTTCTGATAGTCCCTAATTGGCATGACTGGACTGTTCACTCTTGAACAAACTTCTGTATTGGTTGGTTGGAGTGTGTGGATCCCATACTTAAAATGGTTATGCTGTCTCCTTTCCGTTTATTTCGATGCCCCAACTACTGATTTGACTTGTTATGTTACAAAACAGAAGAAAAGTCTGCATTCATTTTAGAAATTTCATGGTTTGTTTATTTTGAAGAATTCAAGTGGCTGCATTACTCTAAATAATTTCATCTATGGTATTTGGTATTATTTTATATAACGTCTGTTCAACTTAGTCTCTTGTGTTACTAGTCTGTGTTGTTGTGTTTCTTCTTAACCTAATAATAATATCATTGATTTGTTCTTTTTATAGCTTTTAGAGGAAGGGGAGGAAGGAAAAGATCAAGCTAACTTGAGATCAAAGCTTGAACTTCCCGTACAGGTTCATAGAGGCCTTATGTTAGAGAATTTTTTGTATTCTAAATTCAATTTATTTGTTTGCTTGACCTGATTTTTTTTTTTGTTTTTTTTTTTTTTGTTTTCATGTATAGGAATTTCGTTTCAATTTCATTTGTGTTATTGGACTTGGAAATCTGTAATAGTTATTTAGATATTAAGACTGGTAATATAGACGACATTTTATTCCAATCAGTGTATTTGGTAATATAGACTACATTTTAATGTCCGTAGTTATTAGTAATTGGCATGCATAGGTGCACATACACAGGCTGATTGTAATGCATAGGGCCAGCCCATTTAAGAGCAAACTTATCAAATGCAAATTGCGGCATATTGCGGCCACCCCTGAAAAACGCTATAGCGCTATAGCAGGAATAGCAGAATAGATATATGACAGAAATAATAACAAAAAGAAACATTTTTTAAAGACAGAGATAGTAGAAGTGACAAAGAAAAACACAGATAGACTAAAAAAACCCTTAAAAATTTTCTGTTACACATTTAAATTTAAGGCAAAATTGACATTTTGCCTTATGGCTGCGATTTGGCCGCATATGCGATAGCAATGGCTGCTATTGCGTTCCGGTGCGGCAAGGTGCAGTTTCTTGCGGCGAGGCACCGCAACGCCCATAAGGCGCGGCTCGCGGCGCTATTGCGGCACAATTAACTACTATGTTTAAGAGGTAGCTATATATATATATATATATTTTGAAAAAGTTCAAAAACGTTCCTTTGGTTTACTCTTTTATCACTTACCTCCCTTTTTTTTTCTTATCACTTACCTCCCCTATCTTTTTTTCATCCAAGTCCACCTTTAACATCGTTAGTAATTGAATTAACTTGCCCATTTTACGTGCATAAAAAGTTGCTAATTAATCTGATATAAAGATCTTTGTCACTGTTAGAATATTAGATATTGTTGCAATCCCTAGTTTTCAGCATCTAGAATGTTTTATTTTTCCTCCTTAATCTTAGGAGTTTGTTTCGTTATTTGTTATTTAAATTCCTAGGATTAGTTTGTTTCTGATATTTTTCCTGTTTAGTTAAAATAGGATTCAGTTTTCTAGTTTTATCTCTTTCCCTGATTATAGGGATTTGTTGCACTGGAATATTTCTGGTGTCTATTTATTGTACGTTTTTTTTCTTTTAGTTTTAATGGAAAAACTGGTTCCATCATTAAAACTTTCTATATGGTATCAGAGCTTGATTTTTAAGGGACTGATCCACCCATGGCTACCAATGTGCCACTCTTTGGCACCATGAGAGCCTACCAAACTACTTCTTCCAATACCACCGGTACAAATACCACTCCAACAACAACCCCACTCAATGTTTCAGCATCAAACCAAACCAACAACAACTCAGCAGCTGTCATTACCAACGATAGTCCAGCATTAGTCATCACTGGTCATCGATTCAATGGAGACAATTATTTGTTGTGGTCACGCAGCGTTCGTATGTTCATTGGAGGCCGTGGCAAGGGAGATCATCTCACCGGTACGGGTGATGCTGCTCCTCTGGAAACTAGTCATCCACAATACAAGAAGTGGTCCATTGAAAATAACCTTGTGATGTCTTGGTTGCTGAATTCCATGGTGCCTGAAATAGCTGAAACATACATGTTGTGCTCCACAGCCAAGGAAATTTGGGATGGCGTGAAGGAAGCCTTCTCTAAGGAAGATAACACAGCTGCCTTGTTTCACATCAAGGGGATTCTTCGTGATCTCAAACAGGAGGACAAGGATGTCACCAGCTATTATAATTCACTCCTAAAATTCTGGCAACAATTGGATCTTTATGATCAACATGAATGGACTACTCCAGCCGATACTCTTCAGTATAAGAAAATTGTTGAACAAGACCGCACCTACAACCTTCTTTTGGGACTCAATCCAATCTATGATGGAGCTCGCAGCCGCATCATGGCCACTCGCCCTCTGCCATCCTTGCGAGAAGTTTTTTCTGAATTAAAGTGGGAAGAAAGCCGCAAAGTTTTGACCAATAGCATCCCAAAAGTTGATGCACCTTTGGAAGCAGCAGCCTTTGTCTCTAGACCCAACAATGCAGACTCCAGACCTAGGCGAAATGGTAAGCTCTGGTGTGACCATTGCAACAGAACTGGGCATATTCGGGATACATGCTGGAAAATCCATGGCAAGCCAGCTGATTGGAAGCCAAGACAAAACAGAGACTTTAATCATGTTGCTGCAGTTGTAGAAGATGTTCCGCAAGCAAAATCCGAAGGCCATACATTTACAAGGGAACAAGTGATAGCCATACAACGCATGCTGCAAGATTGCAATAAGGACAAATCTAATCCCTCATCTGATAGTCATCAATCAGGTACATTCCATACAGCTCTCCAATCCGATCTTGATAAATGTGATTCCTGGATGGTAGATTCTGGGGCTACAGATCATATGACTGGTAATTCCTCTCTTCTTTCTGAATACTTTCCCATTTTCAAGGCAAAATCAGTAAAAACAGCAAATGGAGGCTTAGCCAAGGTTCACGGAATTGGTGTTGTTCACCTATCGTCAACCATATCTTTAACTGGAGTTCTCTACGTTCCATCTCTTACCTGCAATTTAATTTCTATTACCAAATTGACCAAGGATTTAAAGTGCACAGTCAAATTTACCCACGTTGATTGTATTTTTCAGGATTTGGCATCGGGGAGGACGATTGGCAGTGCTAGGGTCTCTAATGGTTTATATCAACTTTACACAGCCGCGGTTATGAAGACTCAAGACAGCACATTTGCAGCAACTAGCAATTTGAATAAGGCTCTTTTATGGCATTTTAGATTAGGGCATCCAAACTTTCAATATATGAAAAAGATGTACCCTTCTTTATTTAATGAGAATTCGAATTTTCCTTCATGTGATATATGTCAACTTGCAAAACAAACTCGATCTCATTATCCCTTACAAATGCATGTTCCTTCTAAACCATTTGCCATTATCCACAGTGATGTGTGGGGACCTGCAACTGTTAAAAGCCTTACGGGTGCTCGTTGGTTTGTCACATTTATTGATGATCATACTCGAATGACATGGGTGTACCTATTAGCCAATAAATCTGAAGTCACATCCACCTTTAAAGTCTTTCACAAAATGATCCTTGCCCAATTTCAAACCCAAATCCTTACCCTTAGATCTGACAATGCACGTGATTATTTTAACTTGGACCTTTCAGCTTACCTAAAAGACCATGGCATCATCCACCAGAGCTCTTGTGTCAATACCCCACAACAAAATGGTGTATCTGAGAGAAAAAATCGCCATTTACTTGAAGTTGCTCGTAGCCTACTCTTTGCCTCAAATACATCCAAAAATTATTGGGGGGAAGCTATTCTTACAGCCACTTACCTTATCAACCGCATGCCATCTCGGGTATTACACTTCTCCTCACCTTACCAAACACTCCTCACTGCATTCCCTTCATTGACCTTAACCCCAAATCTCCCACCAAAAATTTTTGGTTGCACCGTGTTCATTCATAACTCTCAAGGTGGTAAATTGGATCCTCGGGCTCTTAAGGGCATCTTTCTTGGCTATTCCCCTACTCAGAAGGGGTATAAATGCTTCAGTCCAGCCACACATCGATTCTACATTACTAAAGATGTCACCTTTTTTGAACATCAGCCTTATTTTTCCCAAACCGCCATTCAGGGGGAGATCCCTAATTCCAAGGAATGGTTGTTTGTGACTAATACTCCAGAAAACTCTGCTTCAACAGCCCCTACACCGGTCTTAGGTGAATCTCAGGAAAATGACACTTCATCTAATGGCTTATCCTCTTCCGGCCCGCTCCAGAAACCGCCTGAACAGCAGCCCCTGCAAGTCTACACTCGACGGCCCAAATACAGAACAGCTTCTGAGATGCTTGAACATGTTGACAAACAGATTACCTTGGCTCCTGGTCCAACTGAAGAAACCATTAGTCCTGCACTTGACCAAACTGAATCCTTGCTGCCAAGTTCTGATGATGCTCTGCACATGCCAATTGCACTTCGTAAGGGGGTAAGGACATGTACAAGTCATTCCATCTGTAATTTTATATCCTATGCTAATCTTTCCTCCAGGATGCAGCATCTAGTCAAGAACATTGACAAGGAAACCATTCCTACATCCTACTTTGAGGCATCTAAGACTACTGAATGGTGTTCTGCTATCCAGGATGAATTGCATGCACTCAAAAAAAATGGCACTTGGGAGATAGTTACCTTACCACAAGGAAAATCAGTGGTTGGCTGTAAGTGGATTTTTACCATCAAATATAATGAAGATGGGAGTATTAATCGCCATAAAGCAAGACTTGTGGCCAAAGGATTCACTCAGACACAGGGCATTGATTACCAGGAAACCTTTGCTCCAGTAGCAAAATTTAATTCAATTAAAATTCTTTTGTCCATTGCTGCTTGCCTAGATTGGCCCCTTTGGCAAATGGATGTGAAGAATGCATTCTTAAATGGTGACTTAGAAGAAGAGGTTTACATGGAAATTCCCCAAGGAGTGGAAGATGGTCAAGGATCTCGAAAGGTATGTAGATTATTAAAATCCCTTTATGGTTTGAAGCAATCTCCAAGGGCTTGGTTTGATAAGTTTACTGCAGTTGTCAAAAATCAAGGGTACTCCCAATGTCAAACTGATCATACTATGTTTGTTAAAACTGCACCTCATCAGAAAATTACAATATTAATTGTCTATGTTGATGATATTGTGATTACTGGTAATTGGGAGGATGAGATAAAGCAATTAAAGGAGACGTTAGCTCACAAATTTGAGGTCAAGGACCTTGGAAAATTACGATATTTTCTTGGAATGGAAGTGGCAAGAACTAAGGAAGGAATTTCAGTTTCTCAAAGAAAATATACTCTTGATCTGCTGAATGAAACAGGGATGTTGGGATGTAAACCTTCTGATACACCAATGGAGGCGAACTACAAGATAGGACTCAAACAAGAATGTGCTTCGGTAG